TATTTTGCATCGTGCGCGCACCTCTTCCACCGTCATTCGAATGCTGGTGCTCTGTGCTCTGTGTGTGCAGAGATATTTTTAGCCCTAATGGAGATACATTTCGAACGATGATTCTCGTCTGTGCATCTATCGGGTGCTTTTGTTGTTATTTTGTTCGCATGTCATCGGTTGTTATGGTTGTGCATGTGAGTGCATAATTTTCCAGTTACATTTTTCTAAAAATGGATTCGGCTGTTGCTGTGTGCACTATATGTCGACGTAATTCACGTTTTTTCCCTTTTTGTTTTGTTTCGATGTTATTTTTTGTGTGTACTGCATTCAATTCAAAAACTAGGTTTCGCTCTCTCATCATTTTCCAACGATTTGAGGCCAATGACCTTATATATGTGCCCAAGTGCACTTGCATTCGTGTTGTTGCGCACATTCACCATTTTCCACAAGCATATCTCTTTTTGCCATTGTTGCAATACAGATACAATTCGATCGACGTACATTCGTATATTACGAAACTACGTCACCGAATCGTGCAAGTGAGAGAAGACAATGCATTTTGCAGAAATAACCCCGAACCTTTCATTCATGTGCACTCACTTGTGCGTTATCGACGCGCTGTTGTTATTGTTGCTGCGACTATTCACTATGAATTGCGAGTTTTGTGGCTCAGAATATGCACACAGAAAGCGAGAGCAGGAGGTGAGATTCTTTGGGTCATACACATTTACATTTTGTTTATTTATTTGTGTAACCCACGCAGAGAGAGATAGAGAGACCCATGTAAATTGTGCGCCCCATTCAATGTGCACAAATTAAGCACTCAAACCGAAATGGTTTCGGATAATGACGACAGAGCGCCTGAAATCAGGTGAACTCATAAATTTCGGTTTTTATTTCGCATTTGACATTCACAATATTGCCATACTTGTTCGGTGGGGCTCAATTGCAATTTTCCCGAATGTGGGTGAATTACGTATGCAATTGCTGGTAATCGGGCTTTAGCACATTTTTCACGTGTATGCTTCCACACGATAAGTACAAAGTTTGAAATGCAAAAAAGTCCTTTGCACACATTTCAATCCGTTTTTCTTTGGCTCGTTAATCATGCATCATTTTGATTTACCTTTTGTCAATATTTGTGTTTTGCGTACAACTGTTTTTGACTCAAGGCTTTTTTTTTAGGCGAAAAACCTGTGAAAGACGTCATCGCCAATAATTACCAAAACATTTCATTTCTACCGTTGCCAGGCCATGTCACATGAAATTTTCAATATGCCAACGTTGTCGTGCACGAGACATGTGTGTATAGTCGTTTCGATAGCGTAATCGTCTGAAATAAGCGATTTTTTTTTCATTTTGGTAAGTTGCCATTATTTTTTTTAGCTCTCAAATCATCATCGTTTTCATGTGAGAAAAAAAAATGAATGCAAAACACAACGTCAAATTTTCTCAAAACGCACATGTTTTTTGGATGTGCTCCTTGAGAATTGTTTAATTTTGTTCAAGACTGGTGTGTGCGTCATCGTGGATTGAAAGCGAACGGATTCGTACAAACGATACGAATGCTCAAAATGTTAAACTGCCGAAATTGTTGACGCTTATTCTTGTTGATGACGATTTTTGTGATTTTTTTCTTTGCACACCAATCCCAGCTATAAAAAAAAGAAAGGCCGATCCGAATATTAAGAACAACTTACACACAACGATCAATTAGTGAAGAAAAAAAAACATTTGAACACCCATTTGAAATGTAAGCAAAATTCATTTGGTGATTTATTTCGATTTGCTTAGCGTTGTTAGACAACCATGAGTTTGTTGGGTCGCCGCAGTTTTTTAATTCTCTGGATCATGAATTTATGTATTAGTGACTTAATTAGGTCTACAAATCTATTTATACATACTCTCAATAGAGGCAAATACACTCATCGAATGTATCGCCGAGCGAATGAATGAGCGGGAGAGTGACAGAGAGAGAGAGAGAGAGAGAGAGAGAGAGCGAAGTGACGAAGCAAACGAACGCGCATACAACACAAAACATACACTCGTTGTTCTGCTGTGTGTACGTCATCAATTTTTCTGGCAAATGTTTTGGTGGCGCAATTATGAAATCTCTTCTCATCTTTTCTGTCAAAAATTCAATGCTGATTTATGTAAATGTCGTGAAGCGAGAAAAAAGCCTCGATTTGTTTTTTTTTTGTTGTCCTTTGCCGCTTATGACGTTCAATGCAGCCCACATTCAATAATAATTATGCTGTCGACAAATATTTCGTAAGCCCATTAAACGAATCCAAAAGCAACAAAAAAACCACACAGTTCAGTGCATTTGTTTAGCATGTTCATTGAACTCGCAAACAGTTAAAAAATATATGAAAATTATGATGGCTCAAACGCTTTTCGATTATTAAAATATTGATGAATGAGATCGCTTGATTGTTCCTCGAATGCAAACAATGTTTAGTGAAATAAATGAATGAATATCATTTTTTTTTTGTTTCTAGTAAGTAAGCCTCGATGAGTATGCAAGTTTCCTTAAAATATTCACTAAATTTACAATCGTTTTGCCTTTATAAATCGTTGTCTTAATGTGTAACCATGCGTATTGGAGTGACTAGAAGAATATATGTTCATTTCCATTTTACAAGCAAGTGAAACAGCTTAAACGGAAAAAATGTTGTAGCTGCTGCTATCATGTATGAACGATGCGATGAACGAACAAGAATTTTTTTTTTGTTGAACGAGTAAAAATGATGTGAACCATTTTCCACTACAGAAAAGCTCACGTTCGTCGGGAATGTATGTATTGGTGACAATGTAATTCTCTCTGTGTATGTATGTGTCTATACTATAGATTGACACACAATGCGAATGAGTTGGTATGTGTGCCATTCGCATGTGTTGTCAATACGCATGTCAAAGAATCGAATGTGAGTAAAAAGTTTTCTCCCGTTTTTTTCACTTTTTTCCTTCTCTCTCCCTCTTGTGTCGTCTATTTCCAGCAGATAGATAAAGAGCGGAATATACAAGACTAAAAATATGTGAACGAGATGATTATGATTTCTGGAACTTTTTAAATTCTAATTATGAAACTTCGATGATGAAAAAAAAGAGAAATCGAATCAATGCGCTTTTAATTGGCTTAAAACAATTGAATGTTGTAATTCCAAAGATTGATCATCAAAATCGCTTTTAAATATTGATGGATATAGTGGAGAACAAAATATAATAATTCATTGGAAAATGAATATGCATTCAAAACACTCGTATCTCACTCTGCTCGTTGGGGGGATTTCGTTTTTTTTTTCTTTTTCTCTCTCGATGAGTGGAACGTATTTATCTTGAGCGAAAATCTTTTTTGCATACAATATTGACTGAGAAACACTTGTAATATTGATTTTTCCGATGAAATCGAATCATTCAAGAGGCTTTTGACATCCATAATCACCTACATGTGAAGCGCAACTCTGTTATCGATGCCATTTTCTTCTTTCCAATTGGTTAAATGAATTGATTTCTCTCTCTCTCTCTCCCTCTTCAGAAACTAATACGTAAATTTCCATTGTTGTGCCAATAAACAACACATCAGCGTTAAACAAGAAAAAGTCAAGAAAATTTCGAAGTTGAAACAAAAAGGAAAAAAGCACCAATTTCAATGTCACACGCGCCCTTGTGGTTGTGCTTTCAATATTATAATGTAAAGCAAGCAAGCGAAAATTTTACTAAATTTTTTTACTCTCTCTCTCTCTATCTGACTTTCTATCAGTTACTTGGAATCTTGAGCTCCTACGTGCGTTCATGGTGTAGGTTTCTATCATACATAATGTATGCATTTGTAATCGACAGACGAAAAAATTAAAATGTTTTTTGTTTGTAAAATATTGTAAATTATACAAAATTTATTGTTAAAGAGAGTTGGTTTATTTGGATACGGGAGCCATTGTTTACTTGTGTGTGTGTGCAAATGTGGTACGCGTGTGGTTTAAGGGTAATATTTTTTTAGTTCGTTTCGTTCCGTCTCTTGATTTTTTCATGTGGTTACTTTTCTGGTTGGAACATAAAATAGTTTGGATCACTTTAATCATGTATCGCAACATTTTATTTTTATTTTTTATTCACAAAGACCGTGTATTAGTCGTTCGTCGCTGTCGATTTCGGTCTATATTTGTAAATATGTGGAAAAATGGATGGAGAAAGTGAATGTGATATTTTCGAGTGAATGAGTGATTGCGCGCGTGCTATATTGGTTTATTTTTCGAGTTGGTGTTTGCCAGCCAATCAAGCATACATGACATTCGTCAGTTATGGGAAAGGGCATGGTTAATTGCGAAATTATAAACGAAACCAAAAACACAGCGAGAAAAAAATACACAAACACACTCACACACAAAGAAAATAAAAAGCAATAACAACACCATCAGCATATCAATGCCAAGAGTGTGGAAATGTTATCACATCGACCAATGGGCAATAAAAACCGCTACGAAAAAAAACTGATTAAATCAACATTTCGAGCCGATTTTTTCTATTCTTTTTTTCATTTCTAATTGGATTGAAGGAAATGTGTGCGTTTGTGTTTTCAATCATTCGAAATGTCAAGGATCAGCGACAAGCACGCAATATTACCACCTTTTGGAAATTCTATTAGTTATTTTCAGTTGTCCCAAAAGATTTTATGAACTAGAAAAGTAGAAACCAAATATTTGACCATGCCACGATGGTCACGTATCGATTCGAGATTTAACGATTTCCTTTGTATAACGAGTCTGTTGAGAAAATCACATTTGAACGGAAAGCTTTTCGAAGAAATGATTCTTTTTTTTATTTTTAAATGTATGTGTGCGAAAGTGTTGGATATAAGCACACACGTGATCAGTCAAGCATTACGAATCTATTCTATATAAATTCTAGGGAGCTTTTGGATTCAACGCGATTCTGTGGATTTTTCTACTAAATATATATATATGTTTGAATGATAAATGTTTGTAGATGAAGAAAAAAATGGTTCATACCTTCACAAATGTATCCCTGTCCGATAAGACCCCATAGTAGGTCGGAACAGTGGTGGCAATAGGTTGGTTTGTGAAATGTTTTCTTGCCAAATGAATGTCCACCATCCGCCATTTTGTGTGTTGTTGTGCTTGTATATTGTATCAGCCGGTTGGTCGTGGAGGCTCTCACGCGACTCGAATCAAGTGCGGATGAGTCGGTACGGAATCATCATCCATGTTTCACATACGACGTTTAGTTGTATTTTTTTCTTTTTTTTTGTTTAATTTAATTCCGTTTTCAATTCTTTTTTTTAACTATAATTGCTGAGGTTATATATGTGCTGATTATTATAGATGGATTTTGCTTAATCTTGGCAAACAAATCACTGTTCAAATCATATTACACTCGAATGCATTTATGCAATAAATTAACAAAAACAAAAAATTAATGAGAGATTGTCTTGAATGGATTTGATCCACCGCCTTTAACGCACTATCAATTGAAATTCTTCCTTCTTTACCTATGTTTATGTCAATCAAAATTCAAGTCTAGAACAACAACAAAATAAAATAAGAATTAATCATATTCACGCATTCATCTGCATATAAAAAAATTTCTCTTCTATTATTTTTTTTGATTTTTTTTTAATTCTCTGTAATCTTGGTCTTTCGTGTCGTGTGGTGGTATTTTCCTTTTTGGTTCAAATCGATATAGCACTTATTTCCATATATACTTCAGGCAAACAGGCACGGACACAAACACTCTCACACATTCAATGTGAAAGAGATTTTAAATACACACAACGTGTACGGCACTCTCACACACACATACACACACACACACACACAAACAACGAGAAAATAAAACGAAGATAAAGCGAAAATACACAATCACACGCTGCTGCTATTGCCGCGTATAATGAAAAATTTCCACGATCTTTCTCGTCGTCGATAGTCTTGTTGGAGCTAGTTGTGCTGCCTCAAATACGGCTGTGTGAGTGTGTATGGATTTGTATAAAATCGCTTTTCTTGTTCTATTTCGCTATTTTCCATTCACTTCACTTGGTTTCGTTTGTGTGATCGGTATATGTTGGATAAATTTATAACATGTATAGATGTGTGTGTATATATCGGGCATACGCGCTCGTATACATATAGAGAATATTTTTCTTTTTTTGATGTATATATTTATATCTACATATATAGAAATTATTTTCTCTCGTTTTGCTGCTTCTTCTTTTTCTTTTCTTCTCTTTAGCTTTTGCGACGAGATTGAATTTTCGTTTTCGATAACCTATTGCTAATTTATTTATAAACTTTTTTTTCTCGCTTCTTTCATCAACTTGCTGCGGTTACTTATTATCGCACATTTACTTCTTTATTTTTCTCTTTCCTTCTCTCTCTCGCTAATTTCCATTAAATTTTTCTGGTTTCGTTCCGTCTTCTTCTTCTTCTTCTTTTTTAAATAACACTAGATAAATTTGATAACATATGAACCAACAAACGGAAAAACTGAAAAAACCGAAAACGAAAATTTTCCACACTGGATAATTCTTAAATTTTATTTGCACACTTATTTCGTAAGATTCTTTCCGATTTTTCCTCTTTGAATCGCTTCTTGTATGTTTGATTTCCGTACAATTTATTTTTTGTTCTCTTTAAACTAAACACAAATTCGATTGGTTCGTTTTTTCACACAGTTCAGGGCGATTACAAATAAAAAATTTCTTTTCCAATTGTTCTTTTTTCTGTTTCTTTTGTTCTGTCGACTTTTTTTTTCTTCGTCGTCGTCGTCGCTATCTTCTAGTTCACTCACTTACAGTTTGCACATCTGTTGTTGTTGTGTGTATGGAAAGGAAATTTTTATTCCTCGTGTGCACGGCGCACCTCACGAGTGTTCTGCTGCTACGTTCTTTCTACACTGTCGTCGTTAAATCATCTCATGTAGACTTTTGGCTCTGTCGATGCTATATTTTTCATTGGTGTGTTGCTTCTTCTTATTCACAATTGAAATATATCGAAAATCTAATACGAACTCGGCAACCGAGAGTCCGGTACAGTGTGAGTGCAAGCGAGCTAATATTATATAGCCGCTGTGTCGCTGACATTGGACAAACATGCGAAACCGAATGAAACGACACGACATCACAATTCGACTGAACAGAAGGAAAAACGAATTTTCGATGTAATATTCGATGAATTGTGTCTTTTTCCAGTTCAGCAGACTATCGTTGTTGCCATTTCAGTTGTTCATTTGCACACAAATGCCGAAACGAATTATATATGGGCAGCCGCCAGGGCGTGAGATTCACAGCGCATGAACATCGCACATTAAAGCATTGCACGCACAAGCGTACAAACAACCAGTTTTGCTTTTTCCATTCACACAACTTTCGGCAAAAGACAACTAGTCTCTGTTTGAAGAACAGTTATACCATCGTTTAACGTAAACAAATTGGATATGATAATATTCACATATGCACACTTTTCAATGGCAATTCTATATCACTTTCGTCACTTTTGATTATTTGCAATCATATGTGATTTCGTTAAAAAAAATCTTTTTTTAGATCAATCACTTTGGAGTTGAAACATCTTTATGATAGATTGAAAAGTAGTTGTTAAATACTTACGAAGAAGAAGCTAACCGACAGAGTTTGATTCAAAAATTTAAGCGTGAAAAGGTCTACAATACTTTCTCCAAAACATACAGAATAATATGATGGACAAAGGATCTTTTACTCTCGATAGATGGCCTTCTTAGGGCGCTTTATTTGGATTTAAAAAAAAAAATTAAAAGTGCATTTTACCGTCACAATGCTAAACTGCATAACATAAAATGTCTTTTATAATTGTACTTTGTAACTACTAGCTATGGACAGCTATTATGTTGAGATATTTTCAGACAGGTGAATCAACTGTTCTTTGATTTAAACAAAGATCAGTTTTTTTTACTTTCTCCTTTAATTTTCTAAAATATTACTTTTTTGAACATAACATTGTATCTTTTCATTTGAAATTGATAAAAAACGTCTCTTTGGTTATGATAGATTTTTTTCCTGAGCCCAATACACAAAAACAATATTTTTCTTTTTGGAAAATTTGTCCAGAGAAATTATTTTCCTTGGAAATGATGGTTTTTCCTAAAAAATTGCATGTGGATCTCGAATCAGCTATTTGTACAGTTTGTAACTCTTTAGATACCTCTTCGAAAAAACATATCCAGAATACCTGTTCGATCCTATGAATAGTAGCTCTAGTACAGCAAAATCCCAAATTTCTGTGTATTTTCATGAGTTTTCAAGCAAAAGTCGCTATAGTTCAAATGTACTTTTTGTCCAAGTGTACTTTTTTTTTAACAATGTTTAATCCTTACCTTTTGTTGTCTTCATGTTTCGAAAAATGTACAAACGAAGCATAATTTCTACTCTAATCTAAAACGTATGAACCCAAATAATAATCGATATGAATCTTACCTTATCAAGTGATACTTATTGTTTGCTCACCTTTGACTCCTTAATAAATTTTTAATTCTAAATCCTCCAAAGTGGTTAAACTCACTGCATAAAGACTGTTCAAACAAATTGTGCAAATCGAGCTGGTCACTCAAGTGAATAAACGTAATGTTATTGGTAATTGAAATATGTTGTTTATTTAAATTCTGGTTTTAGCTAAAAGCGATAATAACGTATTTTTTACACATAATAAATGAAAATAAAACAAAAAATTCCAAGTATTATGGTTATATAAAACACTGTGCAAATCAATTGTCTCAGTATCACATTCACACGTGCTCTTATCAATAAAGTCTAAGGTTGTTTAAGTATTTAATTTGTGACTGCAGGATAACATGTCTATATATTTTAGTTGTAAAACCAATGAAGGCAAAGCGAATAACAATCGATATCTTCACCTCCGTTAAAAATCGGTTCATATAAATCCAAATAAAAAAAAAACACATTTGAACTTTGTGTCGCATCCAACAAATTAAAAGAGATTGTAAGCAATGAGAAAATTCCTTTGTTGAATCAAGACCAAACAATAAGAAAAAACTCAAATAATACTGATTACGAAATTCGAATTATTAAATCGATTACATTTGTTCGAATTTTGATTTGAATTTTAAATATGTTTTTGTATTTGTGATAAAATTTTGTTTGTGATGCATGTTGTTTGTATGAGTTGGGGTTTTTCGTTCAGGAATCAGAGTTGAGCAAATTGGTCATTCAGTATAACATTATACAACCTATTTTGAGTGAACTGACTTAAGTTATCCCAGTCCAAAATCATCAAAGAATCCATTTCCCTGTGTTTCATCCTGAAAATAGACACGAAAAAGAACACAAAAAAAGAAATTGCAGAAAAATGTTTGCTCTTTAAATGTACTCAATAATGTTAGCTATCAAGTCAGACCGAATAGAATATAAAAACACATTCAAAGATATATCGAAACATCCCCAGAAAAAACAACGAACAAGAACAAGAGAAGAAAAATGCATTCTGAAGCACAGAACATTCAATACATACAAACATACCAAATAGAGAAAAAAAACATCAATTAATTAGATTGTTAAAGGTGCATGATCATATTTTGTGTTAGCATCAATAAGAGCTCCGTTCAAAGAGTCTCACCATTGAGGTGACTCTATGGCACCTTCAAAAATTTGACTTTGTCAAAGATAATAAAACAAAAAAATTCGAATCAAGTTGGTCATCAAATTCCATCCACAAATCAGCCCGTCACCGAATTCAAAAGTGTGTCACGATGTTTTGTGTTTTGATTTAAATTAAAACATGGCAAACATGGTTTGGTGTTGTATGTCTTTTCTTTAGAAAAAAAGTTTATTTGTTTTGATGTTTTTGTGCGTTGCTTCTTTTGTATATAACATTTGGTTCAAACAAACTACATTGATTATTAGAAACTATGACTACAATTTAAGTTTTGTTTAATATTAAATTTAAGGTGAATAAAAAAACGGTACGATTAGTTCAATCTAAAAAACAAAAACAAAAAAGCGTGGTTAATTTTTATTAAATAATTTGAAAAAAAAAATGGTTCCTTTATCCGTTGATTAATACTAAGTTCTACGGTGTTTCTTTTATACAAGAAAAACAATTTCTTTTACCAAGTACATGAGTCTAGCAAATAAAATGTCACGCATTCAAATCCATGTGTATTGGGTAGCAGAAGCCAAATTACGGCGAAATTGTGTTAGTAATTGATTGTGTGAATGTGTGTTTCTACGCGAATGTTTGTAATTTTGTGACATTTAAATTTTGGCTCAGTTTTGTTCTGTATTTATGTTTATATCGAGTAATTTTTTGGAATGAGTCTACAGTAATCCAATGTCTTTTAAGGCCCCTTCAACCGCTTCATCCTAGAGTTTGAAAGAATTGAAATTCGATTTGATTTTTGTTGGCGATTTTTTTTTTTTTTGGTTTTAGTACTAACGATATGAAAATTTTGTTTTTAAGTGGATGAAATTTAACATAGTGTCCAACTGATAACAAAAGCACACCATTACTATTTACAAATAGTTTTTGCACGTGATCTAAAACTATTTGATAATAAAGATTTTAAATCCGAAGCAACAAATACCTTGTTTGCTACCTTTTGTCCATTCTCGGCAGGCTTCTTTCTATTTGTTTTTTATTGTTTTTGTCAAAAATTGCAACGTCGAATGAGTATGGAGTTAGAATGATTCAAAAAAACATCAGAAAAAGCATTGGTTCAAACAAAACATTATTCAAGCAAAACAAATGGAATATCATTCACAAGCCAGAATGTTTTCTGGGATGTGTTCGTTCCCCATTTTCAGGCTGTAGCACAAAAAAAAACATATAGCGACGACGAAAGCAAAATTAAGATTCATTAAACAATTTGATTGAATCAAAATTCTAATAAAAAAATGTGAGGCGGTATTTTGACACACACACACACCATTGAATGGCCATCACACAATTTCCCACCGTTTAATTAAAAAAAAACATTTAAAACCCATCATTTGATTAGCAATATAAAATGTATTAGAAAATGAGATTGTGACATGAATTTATAACATATAAGGATAAAATACCCACACACCACGTTAAACAGCGAGCCAGGCAAAGTACATGGAAAGTTAAAAGCAAAATGTTTGTCATGTTGAAAAGATTAAGGTTCTTTTTATAAATCGAAGATTTATCCGACGAAAAACAAAAAATTCAAATGAAATTAAATTGTGAATTGAATAAAACAGAGGAAAAAATAATAATGATTGAAAAGAAGAAAAATATAAGAAAAACCATCCTGAAACAAGTGTGACAAAAATATGAGTTTGATTATGTCATTGAAATAGCGTTTTTGTTATTTTATTTTCTTTAAATAAATTTGAATAAATGAACGTTTCAAATAACTTAATGCAATATTTACATATCAAGTCAAAAGTGAACTTAACTGTTTATAATTTTGTTTTTTTTTTTAATCTTTATTGGGTGCAATTAACAAAATGTGGGGAAAAAAACATCATCAATAAAAATGGAATGCAAAAATGATATTACAAGAATTAAACATTCGGATTCAATTTGAAAATTCTTTTTCTATTACGAATTTGATACTTTTTTCTGTAATTCAAACGATATCAATGAAATTTTTGAAAAAAAATAATAATTTTTTGATATTTCATTTTATTCTCTAAAAAAACAAGTCACTGCTTAATAATTATGACTAAATGGCGAAATTGCCGATATATATTAAGTTTCATTCATAATCTATATTCTCTTCCATCGAGACAAAATGATATATTCGACTTTATAAGTACACGTTCATTTATCTAAATACAATATAGCATATATATGTCTGTTAAATTCGTATCGATTTAGAATGTCTTGAGAAAAATACCTATTTTCGGTTTGGTTGTAGTTTTTAAAGCATTTTTTGTTTTCGAATCTAACATTTGATATTCTTTACATTCTTCTTCAATTGATAACTGTTTTAAATTGTATTTTCATTTGATACTGCGATGAAAGTATTTGGAACAAAAAATTGGAATTAGAGAAGATCTTTGAAAGAATAGTGAGAGAGGCAAGAGAAATACAAGGGTCTAATTGAGATTGAGATTTTGTGGGTTAGATAGAATTCTAACTAAAATTGCTTCTACATTTGTTTTATTCATTTCTATTGGTTACTTATCGTTTTGGAATTTTGTGGAAGCGTGTTCAAAATAAAAATGCAAACACATGAGAAAAAAAACTAGTTATGTTAGGGCAAGTGTTATTATCGGCTTTTAAAACTTAAAAATCATCTACAGATACTAAGTCTGAGAAATTTAATTAAAGTGTGATCAGATCATGCCAATTAAGTAAATGCAAGAGATATTCACTATATATACTGAAGGTTATTTTTATCAAATTAATTAAAAACATAAATAAATGTCATGCTGGGACTTCTTTTAGTTAAATTTTCTTTTGTCGAGATTCAAAATTAAACATCGTTGTCGAAAAGTCATGAAATTAAAGAGCAAACCCATGTGCTGCTATATAAATCTAATTTTATGCGTATTTGCTGTGGTTGTGTGTGTAAGTGTGTGTGTGATATTAAACTGGCAAAAAATTAAAGATGTTGTGTGCGTTAGTGTGCCAAAAAGACGCGCAGTGAAAACAGAAAAAACCACTCGGTATATGTGAAATATTTACAGTGGGATTCTTTGTGTATAAAACTAATGTTCGTGCATGTATAATAAAAAGCCTCTGGACGGCATTTCAGAAAAATCGTGAATATTCAGCTTATAATAATAGGAAAAAATAAAGTAGACACCACAACAAAAAATAAGACAGTGACACACAGACACTTTGGACGAAATACAAATCATAAATACTATCGTCAGCCTCGGAATTGAAAATGAAAAAAAAAAATATTTTGAACAAAAGACACAAAAAAGAAATATAAATGAAAACATTTTCATCGCAATGGACTTGGTTGAGAGAAATTTCGATGCCTTTTAACAGAATAAACATTTCATCGGTTTTAAATTGTATATGATTGAATGTGTTGAAAAAGGCATCGTCGCATGACAATTTAGATTTGGATATGTTTTGTCATTGATTTCGGATTTTGTTTTTGTTTTTGGCTTTTTATAAGTCATAAGTTTCATCGGGGCTACTGACCTCTTGGAGAACATCTTGCGCGGCGATTGCTTTCAGCACATTCTTTTTCGATGTCTCTTGCATTTCGCCACCAATCAACAGCTCGTCCAGTATGAAATACGCCTTTTCGAAATTGAAAATTATATCCAGCTCGCACACCTACATACATACGACAATTAATAAAATGTAAAAAAAAAACAAATTAATCATCAAATGTAACTCGTTTGTGTTTAATGTTTAAATGATAAGCAAAAGTTATTGATATTGCGTTAGTAATTATACTCACACTGCCAAAGTATTTATCCAGCAGCTCCACGTAGCGATGGATTATTTCGAGTGTCAGTAATTCATTATCGTTTTGTTCGATTGCACAACAGAAATACAAACTGGCGTATCTGAAAGTAAATAAGCAAGTCAAATGCACTGTTAATGAATAGCTTCGATGAAGTTTTGTTCGTTAATTTAAGAAAATTAACAAAAATAAAAAAGCCGAACTGATTTCGGTAACTAAATATGTACCAATTCCATCTGTATTTATGCACTTATCACATGATAACTTACCTTTTATAGACAATTTTACTGTCTTTCCATTCCAAAAACGAACACATTTTCGGTTTTCTGCAAAGAAATAAACAAAACATTAATCACAATGTCTCATGACACATCGTCAAAACAGGTGCTAAATTTTCTTTCTTTTGTTCCATACCTTGCCAGTATTGTTGTGATTAGTTCCCGTGTAATTTTCTTCTTTACTTTATCCGGATAGGCGACATACCATTTCTGTAATCGAAGTTTGCCTTGTCGGCTGAACAACAGCATAAACAACATCATTTTTGTTGTAACTGTTCAATGGGGTGTGAATATTTTGAACAAAAAATGAATAAAAATGAAATCTCTCTTCGACTCTACACTTTAATGCAAGCTTAACAATGAATGACACGACAATCAATTTTTATTGTATTCTGCTTCTTTCGTGTGCCGTAGATTTGTACAAATGTCACAAATGCTTAAGTATTTCGAATACGTAATAATAAATACACCGACTACAGCGCCATCTATTGACCGTTGACGGTGACCGATTTGGTTGAGGCGATGTTTTATTTAGATTGTTTACATTTTTTTCTTGATATGAATTAATTTTGATTTTTTTTTATAAGAACACAATTCATTGTTATATTTTTGTAGCAATATTGATCAAAAACAATTGAGAAGAGTGACAAAGAGTGTAAATGGTACTGACCCATGTTAGAAGCAAAATTATTACATATATGTTTGGTAACGTGAAATTCAGTTAATCATGTAACAAGCCCGTTTCAAATTTATGATATCTAAGTTGAATTATTCTCGCGTTTTATGCTTATATTTATAAAAAGTTAGCACATCATGTCATAATGTTTCCGTATCGACAGCATATAAATAGTTGATTAATCAGATGCATTTGCTTCAGAACTCAATCGTCGTCTTTCACATCGACTTTTGTTGATCTCTTTCAACTGCGAGTATTTGTAGAATTTTGGCTTACAATAATTCACTTTAGGTTCCATGACCTTTTTGATTAGATTTAAAAACATTAAAAACATTTAATTCAAAATTAAAGAACTATCATAAAAACACAGTGTTTTATATTTATGTGACATTTTCGATAATTGGTTCTAAACGATCGGTTACAAGTGCTCGATTTTGATTTGTTTCGAACTAATCCATTAATTTCGCTTATATTAAAGAGTAACAAAAAATGTAAATCGGTTATCAGAAGTTATTCGACCAACATTAATCAATTTCATTAATTAATCCTCGTGGTGAAAGTTCAATATTTTATTGTTTTTGTCTATTTTTGTCCAATGTAGTTTGAACAACATATAAAGCATCATCAACCATAAAATTAATTGTATTATTTCCATTAGGCAACCAAGAAGACGTGAAAGCTGAGGTCTTTAACCGTCTTTAACATTTAACGCGAATTTGATTTGGCGTCATTTTATTTTGTATGTAAAAATACTTTTTTCGATTCTTTAACAACTGCCAAAAATTCAATTTTCTTGAATAAAAAATGTGACTTACTATGAATAATTGAGCTACTCAAAAAGATCAAATTTGTCATGAAAACCTATCTCTCAGGTGAATTTAACCTAACATCTCTAAGAGAGTGATGCAATCAGAGGCAATTTTAATAATAATAGCATCAATGTATCAAAATCAATTCAAATAGGTTCTTTTTAAGCAGTTACAACGGGTTCCATATTTCGCAGACGGATATTTTGATTCGTAAGTGAGCACAAAATGTTGCACATTGTTTTGATCGAAAACAAAACATAACTCTCTGCGTAAAAAAATGTTTATTTTTTTATATGTTATGTTGTTACAAATTATTAAATATGAAGTGTAATCATTTTTTCATTATAAATTAAACTGGACACATTCCCTGTTTGAATTATATTGGTGTCAAATTTAGTCTACTTGCAACCGTTGACTTGTTCATTTCGATTTTATAAAAAATTGTCTGGAAATTAACGCAATGAACGCTAAAGAATTTCGTGAATTTGGATATGCAGCTGTGGATTTTATAGCTGATTATATGGAAAATGTGCACGAAAGGTATTTAAAAGTGTGAATCATCACAAGAAAATTGAATAGATAAAAAAGTGAATTTTGAAAAAAAGAAGAAAAAAAATGAAGTTTGAAAATAATCAAAATGTGCGTTAAATTTCAGGCAAGTGTTACCATCAGTTGAGCCTGGATATTTGCACAATTTATTGCCATCTGGAATGCCAGAAAAATCAGAAAGTTGGAAAAATGTGATGAAAGATTTAAACGATAAAATTCTACCCGGAATAACACACTGGCAGTCACCAAATTTTCATGCTTATTATCCATCGCAATCTTCTTATCCGTCAATTGTTGGAGACATGATTGCGAATGGTCTTGGAACCGTTTCATTTAGTTGGGTGAGTTTCATTTTTCATTCAAAAATGTTGAAATGAAGTGATTAAAAACAAAGAAACAAATCTCTTTTTCCAGATCTGCAGTCCAGCCGTTACAGAATTGGAGGTGATTGTAGTCGATTGGTTAGCAAAATTTTTGGACTTGCCAGCATTTTTCTTGAATTCATCCGATGGGTGTGGTGGCGGTATGTTGCAAGGAACTGCCTCGGAATCGATGCTAGTTGCAATTTTAACAGCTCGAGATCAAGCTGTGGCACGTTTGAAAATTGATTATCCAAACATGAATGAAAGTGATATTCGTGGCAAATTGGTGATGTACACAAGTGATCAAGGCAATAGCTGTGTGGAAAAAACTGCTCGATTGGCTGCTGTTTCAATTCGTCTATTGCCAGTTAATCGTAATTTATCATTGTGCGGAAAAAATTTCCGAATTGCAATTGAAGATGACATAAAAGTTGGAAAATTCCCGTTCGCATGCGTTGCCACACTCGGAACGACTGGCACCTGTGCATTCGATAACTTACTTCAAATAGGTCCCTTATGTCGTGAGAATAAAATTTGGTTGCATATAGATGCCGCTTATGCTGGATCGGCGTTATGTTGCCCAGAATTTCGACCATTGATGCAAGGCATCGAATATGCCGATTCATTTAACTTTAACTTGCACAAATGGATGATGGTGAATTTTGACTGCAGTGCAATGTGGTTTCGAGACACTAGCAAAGTAGTCGACGCATTTACAGTTGATCGAATCTATTTACGGCATCACGTTGAAATCGATTCAAAGGCACCGGAATATCGAAATTGGGAAATTCCACTCGGGCACCGATTTCGAGCGCTCAAAGTATGGTTCACATTACGAATTATGGGTGCCGAGGAGATCAGAGAAAATATTCGAAATCACGTTCGTTTGGCTGGCTATTTTGCAGAGTTGATTGCAACCGATACACGCTTTGAAATTATCGGCAATGTGCTTGGTCTCGTCTGTTTCCGTTTAAAACGCAATTGTGAATATACCAAACGTCTAGTGAACATTTTAACCGAACGCAAAAATATTTACGTTATCCAAGCATTATACCACGATAAGATAATAATACGATTTGTTGTGAATGGGTTAAAGCCGACTGAGAAAGACATCGAATTTGCTTGGAATGAAATTCGTATGCAGACAAATGAGATTTTCAAAGAAATTTCGCCGATGAAGATCGAAATAAGTAAAAGTAAATGCTTGATAGATTTTGGTGAATCAGTTCAAGTTGCAAGTGCAGATCATTTGTTTGCGATCAAATAAATATGTTATAGTTGGCAGTAGTTTATTTGCACTCCAATAAAAAAAAATCACTTGAAATAATAAAATTTCCGTGTTATTTTTTGCGTACAAACCGTTTTTTTGTTTATAAATACGTCGGTCGATCAACCAAAATTCCAATATTTCAATGTCACGTCATTAACAACACCTGAATCGACACATATTCCACCTGGAAACCCACATTTTGTTTGCTTTACGTTTTATTTCGTTGTTGAAATAAAATGAACAATGTACTTAAACTGGTTTGGTTCATACGTACTTCTCTTCTTAGAAATCATGACAGTCATTAAGGTAACGTTTGTAGTTCATGCGTAATAGCTACTCAATATCATAATGAGACTCAAGATGATTGATTATTAATATTTGCTTTTTTTGTGACTGTTTGCTTTATTCTTTCCTTTTGCGAAATGCATTTGTACCGCGAATATGTGCTATCGACTTGGTTGCCATCAGGTAGATTTTCTGTCATAGTTCTTCTCTCTATTGGAAGAGAGTTTTAGGTAAACAATCTTCAAAATACACACATATATATTTTTTGGATATTTAACTGGAGACTCGTTTCAAGCCAGTTTATTGTTTCGATAAACGTCGGACAGTGTACACGTTAACAGAGCTCGATTGATAATATTAAAAATTCAGTGGGATAAAAGTGAAAACAACAAAATAACAAAAAGATTTAAATCTGATTAAACATTTATATTTTGAAGAGAAAGTGCACTTGATTTTCACTATGGATGCTGAGGAATTCCGCAAGTTTGGATATGCTGCAGTCGATTTTGTAGCCGAATATTTAGAGAATATTCGCGACAGGTAAACAACAATTAAATTTTTTAATGGAAATGTTAATGCTAATTTTTGAATGGATCTGTTTTATTATATCGCATAATGAAGCACGCAATCATTTTTGTCTATTTATGTTTTCATTTTGTTTTGATGCTAATAAGTGAATGTACAAAACAAAAAGAGTGAAATGGATTTTTTTATTTTTAAATCGTTTCCCCGTGAAAAATATTTTTAGTGATTATCCAAAAAATGGAGGGAACTGTCTAGAATTTCAGACTGAAATTTGGAGTCAATTCTCAATTCCAAAATTATAAACCAATGTATTGACTGTTAGTCAAAAAGATGACAAATTCTCCGTTTTATTTAATTGGAATACATAAAGTCCAGAAGCAATTCAATTGTTTTAACTTTAATCATATTGATTAAAATCTTATCACCTTTTTTACTTTACATATAATATTTTATTGATATATATTTTGTACAATTTGTAAAGTCAAAAAGGTGATAAGATTTTAATCATTACGATTAAAGTTAAAACAATGGAATTACAAACTCTCCAACAATCAATTTTTCTCGCATGTGGAAGGGAGATAACCTACCCATTTCCACTATACATTAGAAGAAAAATCCAATCTAGAATGAAGCACTTCAAATATGAACAATAACACTTTATTTCAAGTTGATGAGATTTTGTCATGTGAGAAAAAATACAGATGTCAAGTTGATGAATAAATTAGCTTAAAGTGATCAAAATGATTCTAATTTTTACTCAGAATCAAATGTAAAGTTTTTACGCACATTCTGGTCATGATGTGCGACATCAATCATCTTATCAAATATTTGCTTTCTATCCACTTCAAATAGACCCGTTTTGCCATCAGTTGAGCCTGGTTATTTGCATAAATTGCTGCCATCTGAAGCGCCAGAATTGCCCGAGTCTTGGCAAGATGTTATGAAAGATATCGGAGATAAAATCATGCCTGGCATGACCCATTGGCAGGTATATCAAGAGCTATTCGATTTACATTAAATAGAAAAACACGTTTTTATATCATTTTTTCGATTTACATATTCTTTCAGTCACCAAATTTTCATGCTTATTATCCAACGGCGACATCTTATCCTTCAATTGTAGGAGAAATAATGTAATGATTCAATTACTTTATTATATTTATTATTAATAATAGTTGTCAATTAATTTGTTTTGTTTTTATGTGAATTGCTTACAGTGCCAGCGGATTTGGTGTGGTCGGCTTTAGTTGGGTAAGTTTGGGAATAAATAGAAGAGTAAAGAGAGACATTATAATCAGTTTTGGATTGAATTTACATTCAATATATAGATTTGTAGTCCAGCATGTACTGAGCTTGAAGTGATAATCATGGATTGGCTAGGTAAATTTTTGGCTCTACCTGAATCGTTTCTGAATTGCAGCGAGGGACCAGGTGGCGGTGTCATTCAAGGTAATTCTTCAAAAGAAATTCCAAAGCGAATCATGGATTAATTGCCGTTCATTTTTGCAGGATCAGCCAGTGAAGCCGTGTTGGTGGCCATTCTAACCGCTCGCGAGCAAACGGTTAAACGTGTAAAAGCCGAAAATCCCGAATGGAGTGAAAGTGAAATTCGTGGTAAATTGATCATGTACAGTAGTGATCAAAGTAATAGTGCCATTGAAAAAGCGGCTCTCTTGGCTGCCGTACCGATTCGATTGCTGCCTGCCGATGATAAAATGGAATTACGTGGAGACGCACTTCGAACTGCCGTTGAAGAAGATATTCGAAATGGTAAAATCCCATTTTGTTGTATAGCAACGCATGGCACAACCGGCACCTGTGCATTTGACAATTTGCCCGAAATTGGTCCAGTGTGTAAAGAGTACAATATTTGGTTGCATATAGACGCCGCTTATGCAGGTGTAGCATTGTGTTGTCCCGAATACCGTTCGATAATGCCAGGAATTGAATTGGCCGACTCATTCAATGTTAATCTTCACAAATGGATGTTGGTCAATTTCGATGCTTGTGCAATGTGGTTCAAAAATGCGGACCAAGTTGTTGACTCATTCACTGTTGATCGCATTTACTTAAAGCATCAATTTCAAGGTGAATCAAAAGCACCCGATTACAGACATTGGCAAATACCCCTCGGTCGACGGTTCCGTGCTTTAAAAGTGTGGATTTTATTACGTACTTTGGGTACTGAACACATTCGCGAACGAATCCGCAAACATACCCGACTTGCACAGATTTTTGAGAATAAGGTCTTGAATGATTCACGCTTTGAAATCGTGGCAAAACCCATGTTTGGCTTAGTTTGCTTTAGATTGAAGGGAGATTGCGAGAAGAATCAAGAATTATTGGATAGAATTACTGATCGAAAGCAAATATACATGATTCCGGCCAAATGCCATGGTAAGCTCATGATTCGTTTCGTTGTATGTGGTCTGCAACCTGAAGAGCACGATATCGATTATGCTTGGAACGAAATCACATCACAAGCTGACCTCATTTTGGGCACCATCAATGATAAAAACGACATTACTACACATTTTGCGAGCAAAGTTGAAATATGCAACAATAATTCGGACAAAACACATATTATTTAATCATAAATCATCAAATATATAGAACGCGACACACATTCCCGATTAAGATTGAATTTTTTCATTCTTTTGTCATAAACTATTTTGTTTAAACCTCAATTCTGATTACCGCCGTTGAAATCAATTATTTATAACTTCAATAAAGAAATGAGAAAAAAAATAATTTTGCGTACGTGTTTATTCGATTTTTTTGTTCCTATATTTGTCTACCCATAGTTTCATAGATACTACATCTACTAAGCAGATGATTACTCAAAGAACTTACACAACTAACATACAGCATGTGGGAAATATTTTCGAAGCAACGTCGCACAAATTTTATTTCCAATAATTCAAGATAAAAATGAGTTCATCCCAAGTTCAAATGATATTAGAAAGACGCAATGAAAGAATTTTTGATTGGTCGTTTTTATTGAATGATCTTGAATTTAAAAATTAAAAAAATTCAGAAAAATGTATTTATTTGCATACATAGTATGCGATTCAGCGAATTCATTTGAATTCGAATTGTTATTTATGAGTCGCATAAAAACCTGCTGTTTCAAGAACAACATCCAAGTTGATGATGTTTTCGCAGACTAGTCTTTCTAAAAAGTGCTTATATTCGATTCGATATTACTGACATTTATTTGAATTTCCAAATGACTTTCAAATTTCCAAAAATAAACACTGTGTTAAAAATCGAAATCAATGTTCAATTCACAAAAACTGGTTCGAATGGAGCAAATGATTGCGCATATGTGGCGCCATCTTATATGGTTGCGACAAACTTGCTCATTCGCTTGTAGACAATATGTACAAGAGTCGACTATAGGTGAATGAACTAGTTAGCCACAACCATATAAGATGGTGCTTTGGTCGCTGTCAAATTATTGTTACACTCTTTCGAACTGGTTATACTCGGAGCAAACTTACGTACAATGCATGCACTTACAAATAGGAATTTTTTTCTTGACTGTTACTTATTTAATATTTTTGCAAAATTTAAAGTTTCACTAAGTTTTTATTGATTTTATACCGACCAAAATAAAGAATTATATAAATGAGTTCAATTTCAACATTATGCACTCACAAAACACTAGGTAGTAGTAAAATTGTTTAAATCAGTTGGTATTTCGTATAAAATTCAAAAAATCTATTGGTTTGTGCACCGGATAAATTTCCACTATTGTATATTAAATAAGACATGAACCACATTTTTGTTAGTTTAAAGATTATAGGCTACATACAGCGCCATTCAATGTATGACAACTAAAATCGCCCTATGTTTTGGGTTTCTTCTGTTAGAATTCAAAAAATACCAACTGATTTAAAAATTTCTACTACTACTATTTTATGTGTGTGTATAATGAATATTAACCCTTTACTAATTGATAGAGGTAAATTCTGGTATAAAGCATTCTAATAACTTTAGATGGTCTTTGGAAATTCTTGTTTTCATTACAAAATAATGATTATTGAAATGTGAAATGTACTAGACCAAGAGCCACTCCAACAAGTAACTTTTTTTTTGCTTTATGTCAGAAAACTATATTGAACCATGCAGCTAGACATACACTAAACAAATAATTTTACGTCTGTCATTACAGTCACCCACTTCGCGAAATCTTCACTATTATTCGCGGATAGAAAACACATCAATTAATAAAGCGAGCTGCATGTTTGATTTTCTGGAATACATTTTGTTTTTGCTCAAAGATTCTTCGATTAAAATTTCTGCATGAAATTCCGCAT